CTGATAATAGATTGAAGTTCAAGCTCTCTACTAGTAACACATTGGAGATGCTCAAGTCATTGGATATTGCAATCTTACCAAGCCCTTTGACCTTGCCTTTGCCATTGTCACCAAATGTGATACTATCAATCCCATTGCTCTTATTTTCATTGATTGAATTGAACATTATTGGATCACCGGTCATGTGTTGTGTGCACCCACTATCAAGTATCCAATGTCTTCCTCCGGCTTTATAATTGACCTACAAAAGAAGATCAATTTCTTTTAGGTACCCAAACTTGCTTGGGTCCTTGTAGGTTAGTTACTAAGGTCTTTGGTACCCAAATGACCTTCTTCTTTGGGCCCACAATTGGTGTACCAATAAACTTAGCCTTCACGCCATTTGCACCCTTAACAAGCATGTAACAAGAATCAAATTTAATTGAGGATACATTAGGTAGCTTGTTCTTGTTAATCTTACAATATTGCTCTATATGCCTAACTTGCTTGCATCTATTACAAAACCGACCATTGCCCTTCACAAAGCTAACTTTGGGAGTGACAAAGACCGCCTTGTCTTTCTTGGGGTATAGCCTAATCCCTCTTTGTTGAGAGAAAATCTTTGGCTACACAAGCACTTTAGCAAGCAGGCATCTCCACCATAGGCATTGCCTAAGACACGAGTGAGCTCATTCACCTTCTTCTTGAGGATCTCATTTTCCACCATTAGTGAGGCATCACAAGTGAAATCATCACTCAAAGATGAAGTAGAAGTAGTAGTGCTATAAGAAGTGTTAGTGGGAGCAACTACAATGGGCTTATAAAAAGATTCATCAATAATATCACATGTTAGTCCCACATCACAAGACACAATCACTTGCTCTGTCTTGACTTCCTCCTTCTTGACTTGCTCAATGAGAGAGGAGTGAACTTTTTTAAGCTTAGAGTGAGCTTTGCCAAGCTTCTCATGGGCTTCTATTAGCCTCTCATGAGTGGCATTCAGCTCATCAAAGGATTGCCCAAGAAATTTGACTTTCTTGTGTAATTCTTTGCACTCCTTTCTCTTCGTCTCAACGCAAGTGTGCACTTGCTCACATATGTCCAAGAGCTCCTCTTTGGTGTACTCCTCCTCCTCATCATCATCATCACTCCTACAAGCATCACTTTCACATTTATCATCATCATCACTCACATCATATTTTATCTTGCTAGGCATTGCCATGAGGCATGTCGATGGAGTGTCGAAAATGGAGGGCTTATTGTTGATGGAGATGCTTGCTAGTGCTTTCTTGATAGATTTCTCGCCATCATCACTAGAGTCATCACTATCTGAAGAGCCATCACTATCCCAAGTGACCACATAGCCTCCACCCTTCTTCTTTTGAAAGGTCATTTTGTTCTTCTTCTTCTTCTCCTTCTTTTCTTTCTTGTCCTTCTTGTGCTTCTTTTTCTCATCCTCATCATTGTCACTATTGTAGGGACAATCCGCTACAACGTGATTGGGGCTCTTGCAATTATAGCATCTTCTCACATATTTTTGCTTTTGGGGTGATCTCTTCTCTTTCTTGCACCATACCCCTTATTCTTCATGAATTTGCCCATCTTGCGCACAAATAGAGCTATGGCTTCATCATCAATGTCACTAAAATCCTCATCATCACTTGATTCTTTCTTGGACTTGCCCTTGTTCTTGGATGATGAGCTAGCCTTGAATGCTACACTTTTCTTCTTCTTGTCTTCGTCTTCCTTCTTGTCATCCTTATCAACCCCCTCCCTTTCCACACGGTATATCTCTTGTGTCATGACATCACCTAGTATTTAGTTAGAGGTAATCTCCTTAAATCCTCCTTTTATGATAAGCAATCTCAACATCTCAAATCTTAGAGGTAGGCACATCAAAAACCGATGAGAGACATCATCATCCTTGATCTTCTCTCCCAATGCCTTCAAATCATTGACAATTACTTGCAATCGATGGAATATCTCTGGAATGCTCTCACCATCCTTCATCTTGAAGCTTGTCAACTTATCCTTGAGGATATACAACTTGGCACTCTTCACCGCCGGTGTGCCCTCATACGTTTCCTCCAATCTCCTCCACACCTCATTAGCTCTTTCACAATTCTTGATTTGCTCAAACACCTTGGAATCAATGGCATTGTATATGGTGTTGAGAACCATTGTATTGCATTGCTTGTTGATCTTGTCTAGGTTGGTGGGATTGTCGGGATCAATGATAGCATAGTCATTCTCGGTCACATCCCATACTTGATCATTGATTGAACCAAGATACATCTTTATCTTTCTCTTCTAATAATCATAGCATATGCTATCAAAGAACAGTGGTTTACCCCCCACAAGGTTGAACACAACTTGAGCCATAATTTGACACCGAGGTTGTTAAGCCTTCAATTAAATGGTGACCACGGCTCTGATATCACTTGAAAGGTCCTAATATGACTAGAGGGGGGGTGAATTGCCTATTAAAAATCTACAAACCAACTAGAGCAATTTGATTAGTATGACAAATAGCGAAATGTAAACTTGCTCTAGCTCTACAAGGGTTGCAAGCCACCTATCCAACAATTCTAGTTGCTATGATCACTAGACACGATTTACTATGTTACTACTCACTAAGAGCTCTCACACTTGCTACACTAAAGAGCTCCACTAGATGAACTTAAAACAACAAAGCAAGCTCTCAATTCTAATTACACTAAAGAGCTTACTTTAACTAGTTTGTAAGAATATAAATGAGTGACTAGAGTGATTATACCGCCGTGTAGAGGAGTGAACCAATCACAAGATGAATACTAAATCAATCACTGAGAGAATACCAAAGGGCAAGGACAACTAATTTTTCTCCCGAGGTTCACGTACTTGCTGGCATGCTAGTCCCCGTTGTGTCAACCAACACTTGGTGGTTCGGCGGCTAAGAGGTGTTGCACGAACCTCGTCCACACAATTGGACACTGCAAGAACCTACCCACAAGTGAGGTAACTCAATGACACGAGCAATCCACTAGAGTTACCTTTCGGCGCTCCGCCGGGGAAGGCACAAGACCCCTCACAGTCACCACGATCGGAGCCGGAGACAATCACCAACCTCCGCTCAACGATCCTCGCTGCTCCAAGCCGTCTAGGTGGTGGCAACCACCAAGAGAAACAAGTGAATCCCGCAGCGAAACATGAATATCAAATGCCTGTAGATGCAATCACTCAAACAATGCACTTGGATTCTCTCCCAATCTCACAATGATGATGGATCAATGATGGAGATGAGTGGAAGGGCTTTGGCTAAGCTCACAAGATTGCTATGTCAACGCAAATAGCCAAGGGAGTGAGCTTGAGCCAGCCATGGGTCTTAAATAAAAGCCCCCACGAAATAGAGCCGTTGGCTCCTCAGTCCACTGAAAAATGGGGCGATCGGACGCGCAGGTCAGATCGACCGGACGCTGGACCACATGGCCCCTGCTACAAACGCTGATCGTCCGATCTCAACGGTCATCGGTACATTTAAGTTGTGACCGGACGCGCTGCTTGAAAGTGACCGGACGCAGGACTTCAGCGTGTGGTCGTTTCCAGTAAGCTTCCATTCACGAAAAATCACGACCGGACGTATCCGATCATGCCCGACCGGACTCACCCAGTGACCGGTCACTTGGCGTCTCCTCTGTGCGCTGCCTCGTCAGCAGGACCGAACGCATCCGGTCACTAAGTGACCCAGCGTCCGGTTGAAGACCGACGTCAGCGTCTTCACGCTTCCACTGACCTGACGCGTCGGTCCTACCGAGACCAGCGTCCGGTCACTTACAGTGACCTCTGTCTTTTCTGTATAGAGCGCCGGTGGCACCGTCGGACTGTCCGCACTCTACGGGTGGACACTCCACCGGTGAAGTTCCTAACCTTTGCTCAAATGTACCAACCACCAAGTGTATCACCATGTGCACATGTGTTAGCATATTTTCACAAATATTTTTAAGGGTGTTAGCACTCCACTAAATCCTAAATGCATATGCAATGAGTTAGAGCATCTAGTGTCACTTTGATAACCATATTTTGATATGAGTTTCACCCCTCTTAATAGTACGACTATCGATCCTAAATGTGATCACACTCTCTAAGTGTCTTGATCACCGAAACAAAAATGGCTCCAACAACTTATACATTTGCCTTGAGCCTTTTGTTTTTCTCTTGCTTCTTCTCAAGTCCAAGCACTTGATCATCACTATGGAATCACTATCATCATGATATGATCTTCATTTGTCTCATCACTTGGAATGGCCACCTATCTCATAATCATTTTGATAAACTAGGTTAGTACTTAGGGTTTCATCAATTCATCAAAACCAAACTAGAGCTTTCAGAGTAGTAATAAAATCGATGAATATAGAAAAACCAAAATCACTTAAATTTAGAATGAAATGAGTACCGGATATACATTTAGGCCAGTCTCAATGCAAGTTCTATGAGAGTTTTATTGGCATTAAATAAGCTAATATGTCATAATTTAAATGAAGAGAGATAAAAGTTTTGAGGGATGAAATGTGTTTAATGACGTAAAACTTGTTTGCACTGCTTTTAAAATATGTGAGTCCCAGAAACGAGAACATGAAATCTTCACTGAGATTGGCTTAGATATTAAAAAAACACATAAGGCCTGTTTGGATACCCGTGTATCTACTTCGATCTTAATGTGTTAGAGTGGATCAGAATAAAACTTAGTTTAATTCACTTTAATCCATTTTAACACATATAAATTAAGATGGATATATGCTCATAAACGAACTATTCGGCTAATGGTTTTTATGGTAAATAAGCCAATTAAAGTAGATTTATTGCGAGAGTAACTCATAAGTTCAAACAAACATGGCGCAAAAGACCTCTGGTAGCCCTAGCGCACACAAAGGAGAGCGAGCTCGAGGAGAGCAACAAGCTAAGGGCTTGCGCGTGCATGGTTAGTGGGGGAAATGGCTAGTGGCAGCAACTGGCTAGGCTTCTCCCTCTCCCCGCAAACGGCCATGGAGGTGCCCTCCGCTTCTGAACCCGCTCCTGCCCATCACGCTCCACCTCCTTCCAGTCCTATGATCTCCTCTTCCAGTACCACCAACGCCACCACTTCCAACTTCCTCTTCTCACCGATGGCCGCTCCCTATCCTGGTTACTACTGTGTGGGCGGCGCGTATGGCGATGGCACCAGTACTGCCGGCGTCTACTACCCCCATTTGCCTGCCATGCCCATCAAGTCCGACGGCACCCTCTGCAACATGGAAGGTCTCTGCTGGCCTTATCCCTCTCTCACACACAATCGTATTCTCTCCACCTCTAACGTTATGGTCTTCTTGTCTTGGCATGAAGTAGGCATGATGCCGTCGTCCCCACCGAAGCTAGAGGACTTCTTGGGTGGTGGCAATGTCGGTGGGCAAGAGGCGGCCACCTACTACAGCCACCAGCAGGGCCAGGAAGAGGGGGCGAGCAGGGATTACCGCCAGTACCAGCACCACCAGCTCGTCCCCTACAATTTTCAGCCTCTGCCGGAAGCAGAGATGCTCCAAGAAGACGCGGCGCCAATGGAGGAGGCGATGGCGGCGGCCAAGAACTTCCTCCTAACGAGCTACGGCGCTTGCTACAGCAACGGGGAGATGCACCCTCTGAGCCTGTCGATGACGAGCCCCGGGTCCCAGTCGAGCAGCTGCGTCATTGCGGCTCCGCAGCAGCAGCACCAGATGCCCGCTGTAGCCACTGCTGCCGCTGCCCTGGGGCGCAGTAATGGCGATGGTGAGCAGTGCGTCGGGAGGAAGAGAGGCACTGGGAAGGGAGGCCACAAGCAGACGGTGCACCGCAAGTCCATCGATACGTTTGGGCAGAGAACCTCCCGGTATAGAGGCGTCACCAGGTAAGCTGCTTACGAAGATTTTTCGCTTTTCCTTGTGTCGTATCTCTTGTTGCATCGTTTGTTTCATCATCAGTAGGATTCGTACGGGCATTGCTTAGTGCCTCTTTAGTTCTGAGCCATACTAGCTTTGCAACTCTTCAGTACACTCTGACGTTGTCTCCTCTGCGGCACTGATCATCTGGTATGGTATTTGCACGTATGTTCTACTAGTGCCCTTGTTAGTTTCCAGCATTGATGTGGCTGCGATGTAGAGAAAGTAAATGCTCTGCTGTTCTTGTTGTTCAGTTGGCCAGCAACTCATGCTTGACGCCAAATCTTTTTAATGCCTGATCTTAGTAGAATACTTCAGTTCGATTAATGTGACGCCAAAGCTGGGTGCTCTGATCCTTCATGGCCCCCCTACAGTTCCACCTATTAATGTGGCAGCTATTCTCTTGTTATGGAGCAAACAATTTTTTACTCTGTCTTTTAGGCCAAACAGTTTTCTTTGTTTGAACCGCACTGTTTTGTATTGAATGATGGTTTTGTTTGTGTTTGATTCACTGGAGCAGGCACAGGTGGACTGGGAGATATGAAGCCCACCTCTGGGACAACAGCTGCAGAAAGGCTGGGCAGACTAGGAAAGGCAGACAAGGTTGATAGCTAAAGAATCCAAAATAAATTCGTTCGGCTGAAACCGATCGTGGATTATTACTGCTGGCTGGTTTGGTTATAATCCACGATCGTTTACGACCAAGCGAACAGGCTGGTAGCCAATCTTATCCATGACCTTATGACTCCTTTCTGACATTTTGATTCCTTTTTTTTATTTTTGAAATGGTGATTCTGGGGTTTGCCATGACTGAATGTGATTGGCCGTGCATCGTAGTATATCTAGGTAAAAGAAGAATCGTTTCTTATCCAATCATGCTTTCTATTGTTCAGTTAGCTGTTTCGAGCTGCGTCTAGTAGATCCGTAAATAGGAAATGTTATTTCTTTTATCTGATTATTAGGTGGCTACGACACTGAAGACAAGGCCACGAGGGCTTATGATCTGGCTGCTCTGAAATATTGGGGTCCAGCTACTCACATCAATTTCCCCGTAAGTGTGTGTCATGGAGATGCAGTTTCATTGAAGAAAATTGGAGCTTATATGTTCATTTATTTAATAGGCCTAGCACACTTTGTTTGGCAGGTAGAAAACTATCGAGATGAACTTGAGGAGATGAAAGGCATGACAAGGCAAGAATATGTTGCGCATTTGAGAAGGTTAGTGCTTTGAGTGCATTGTAACTACCTTGTTTCATTGATGTCTTCCTGCATTTCCTAAGTTGCTACTGATCATAGGAGAAGCAGTGGATTTTCTCGAGGCGCTTCCATCTACCGAGGAGTGACAAGGTTCGTTTGGGCAGATTACGCTACCACATTTTGCTTCCTTAGTGCGGACCACAACCAAAGTACAAGAAGAAATCATCTCAATGTACATGCTAACTGCATTACAGGCATCACCAGCAAGGAAGATGGCAGTCTCGGATTGGACGGGTTGCTGGAAACAAGGATCTATACCTCGGCACTTTCAGTAAGAAAGATCTGTCTATTTGACTGCAGATTTGTAGGGCCAAAATTCTTCTATCTATAAAGTAATGTGTTAAGTAAACTCATAAAAGAAACTTTTAGCACTAATCCTTTGGTGGTGTCTGTTGTACTATGTTAAGTCAGCCTGTTCACTCGTTGGTTTTAGCCAGGGCTTATCAGCCATGATACAGTGTTTTTCTCTCACAACAAACCAGCACCAGTCGGGCTTACCAGCCGGGCTTATCAGTCCAGAAACCAACCAGCGAACAGGCTGATTGTCTCGTCAAAGTACATTTGCTGTAGAAGAAGGTAGGCATGGAACATAAGCTTTTACTGCTAGTGTCAAGTTTTGTGCATGGCTTTTGCGTTCACTTTAATCCGTGGGGTGCACATTCGATGATCATTCTTTGCTTTTTCAGATAGTTATGCTTTTCCTAAGGCTGTGGCCCCTGACCAAAGCAACCTGTTGACTGTTTTGAATACTCCGTTGAACACTTAACTAAAATATGGCATTAGCACGACACGAAAGTAATCTGATCGAAAACTGTACTTCGCATTAGGATCTTATCTTGGTTTCACAATGTACTAACTAGATTAGTTGATCGAAAATTGTACTTTGCATTAGGATCTTATCTTGGTTTCCCAATGTACTAACTAGATTAGTTGGTAGTACATGATATTTTTTTCATAGGTCACACCTACAGCTGAGTTTGTTCTTACATCGCTTACTGAATATGCTGCAGCCACTCAAGAAGCAGCAGCTGAGGCGTACGACATAGCTGCCATCAAGTTCCGTGGCTTGAACGCGGTGACAAACTTTAACATAACAAGATACGACGTCGACAAGATCATGGAGAGCAGCACGCTGCTGCCCGCGGAGGAAGCACGCAAGGTCAAGGTGATCGAGGCAGCGAACAATGCTCCTATGATGCACAACGGTGGCAGGGAGCTCAACCCAGCCGAGGAGACAGGCGCTGGCTGGAGGATGGTGCTCCATGGTTCTCCCCAGGAAGCTGTGCATTGCCCAGAAGCAGTTGATCTCCAGAGGGGCGTCATGAGCGAGTCTCACCCCTCCCTGCATGGCATCGTTGGACTTGACATCGACTGCGCAGTGCATGATCATCACCGCCTCGACGTTCCTGGCAAGACGACTGGGAGCATCAACTTCTCCAGCTCGTCCTCGCAGGTGACAAGCCTGGGAAACTCCAGGGAGGGGAGCCCCGAGAGGCTGGGCCTGGCCATGCTCTACGGCAAGCAGGCGAGCGCAGTAAGCCTGGCCACCATGAGCCCCTGGATGCCGATGGCGGCAGAAACAGTGGCCCAGGTGCTGAAGCAGCCGAACGTCGTCTCTCATCTACCTGTCTTTGCCGCTTGGGCGGATGCCTAGTTGAGGGAGTTGGAGCTTAGTAGCTGCTCAATCTTGCTCGCCATTGCTGTTTTTGGTAGACTGAAGCAAGATTAGCAGCACCAAGTTAGGTCAACTAGCTGGAATAGCAAGGTTCGTTAGTTACCACGATGGCTGGTGTAATGGAATGCAGTAGAAGATAGGCCTTAATTAGTTTACAGCTTATGCACAATCTTAGTAGTAGACTAATAGTGGACTAGTGGCGGTGGTAGCGTTCTTTTGAGCCTTTTTTGGGTGACAAAATTGGTTAGAATGTACTAGTATGGCTTCCTTTGAACGTTACCTGAAACAAGGCTGTTGCGAGAAAAAGGAAAAGGTTCACGAAATGAGATGGCTCGTCTTTGTTTGTACGATCATTCAGTTTTTTCTTCTGTGGTCAGTGGGGTCGTTGTCTTGGCTATGCACACAGATGAAGATCTTTTGACCGCTGCTGCTTCAGAGTCAGGTCCACTTGCCTCACGTTCTTTTTTTGCTTTCTCTGCATGGCATGGCATCTGTCTTCATGATGGCAATGGGTATCATAAACATTTCCCTTCCCATACGAGGGGAGCTTTGCTGCAAGGCTACCTACAATCCGACTCCAATCATTCCAAAAGAGGCCGATAGATAGAGATTCCAATGCCATTCTTCCATGTCCCAACCAACTTGCGGCTTCATGATGGCGTGTCCTGTGATGAACGTCTTGGCTCATGAATCCTGGTGAACGGATGGATGGCGCTATAGATGCGGTCAGTCAATCGATCATTGTCACGCTTACAAGGGCACCTAAGTATATTATTTCATATTTTAATAAACAAGATAGAAAAGTTAATCAAAAGCTTGTCTCATAGATACACCTTACGATCATGTGAGGTTAAGCCAACATATATAAAATTATTTTGCAATAGGGTCTGACATTTGGTGGGAAACCAAGATTTTAAATATGGTGAAAAATTTTAAAAGTTTAAACAGGATTTCAATGGTGATTCAGTTTAAGCAAAACCGACCTTGTAAATAAATTTTCGGGGGCGGCTTGTTTAAGCCAACAGCCTCTGGAAATATGTTTTCAGTTGCAGTTACCTTATCACAACCGTCGCTGAGAAACTAGTTTCAAGGGCAGTTTCACTAAACCTACCACATCTGGAAAAGGTGGTTTTAGGGATGGTTGTCATAGAGTAATTGTCACCGGAAATCTCTAAGGGTGGTTGTTCTAATCTAATCGTCCCTGAAAAACGTATTCTCAAGGGCAGTTTGCTTAACAAAAGAGTCCGTCTATAGAACACTTGAGTGTTTTTGTGTCCAGAACACTCGGTTTTTTGTTCTTCACACCTTCTTCCTCCTCCTGACACGCCGTCGAAGCCCACCGCCCCACCATGGTGTGGTAGGGTCTCGCTGGAGCTCCGCCATTCTAGTATTGTTTAGCACTATATCGGTACTGTGCAACACCATTTAATATTATTCATTGATACTTTTGATGGGTATTTAGATCATTCTGTTTCGTTACTAATGTGTACTAAAAATTCTATATATCTTTCTTTATATGAGAGAGTAGTCCTATCAGTGCAAATCATACCATCATATATATATATAAATTGCAATTATAAATTATAGAACATTACACTATTACCTCTAAAATTGTTTTCACAATAGCTCTATGACACGAATTATTAGTATAATTCATCAGGGTTTTTATTCTAGACCCATCGCTCCTTGTAAATCCCAGGTCGACTTTCGGATTGTCTGGGAGAGCTCCAGCTCTAAAAACACAGATCTTGAGCACCAACTCCACCTTGAAGCAACTCTGGGATCCCATAAACTTGTTTAGGATATACAATAAAAATGCATCTAGGGTCCAAAATGAAAAAAGACTAAAAATACACACATGCGACGCTAACGGGGATTTCGTCTTCCTCGGTAGATGAGTAGAGGCAATGGCTAGTAGTAGTATGGAAATGGGCGGCGGTGGGGAGGCTCTGACGATGCGTGAGGTGGGAGCAGAGGCAGTGGCCGTGGGTAAGTGCGGCGTGCGCAAGAGGCGCGATGGGGGTTGAGCAACAATGGCGAGGCTGAGAAGTTACAGGGTGGACCGGGTGACAGCACGGCGAGGCCGAGGCGCATCAAGGATGAGAACAGGTGCGGCGATGCGTCGTGGAGCTGGGGAGGACGTGGGTGGCAGCGCATGCAGAGAAGAAGACCAAGGTAATGTGCGCGGAGAAGAAGAAAGGAAAAATAGAATGAACCAATAAGTTATTTAATCGGTGTTATTGGTGGACAACTTGAGTTTTGAGAGCTCCATGAATTTTATGGATCTAGGAGCTAGTTTATGGTTTGGTAGATCTAGATTTGGTGAAGTGAGAAGTGTTTAGCTAAAAAAGTTAGAAGTGAATATGTTTTTTTCATATCTAGAGCTGCTGGGAGCTTCTTCTTTTTTTGAAACTGCTGGGAGCTGTTCCGGCCGGGGCGTTGCCCGTGTGTAATGCGGCTGCCGTGCTGGAGCATTGATGCGCCCATTGTCCAGCGATTTGCCGGCACAGGAAACCGGAAGTGACGGTTTGACCCCTCCACATTGGCAGCATAGGCCAAGGCCCAAGGGGGCTATGCACGCACAGTGCATCCACAGTGGACCGCTCGCTCGCGAGCCCTTGGCTTTTGCCTGTCCAGATTCGACAGCACGATCCGCTGGATCGCTGTGCCAGCTAGAGCTAGTGAGCGTAGCCGTAGCGAAGCAATGCGCTAGCTCTCAGTAAGCGCGTGTTTAGTTAGGTGAATTTGGGAATTTGGGTTACTGTACCGTTTTCGTTTTTATTTGATAATTAGTATTTAATCATAAATTAATTAAGTTTAAAATGTTCGTCTCGTAATTTCTAACTAAACTGTGTAATTAGTTTTTTTTGTTTACATTTAATACTCTATGCACGTATTGTAAGATTTAATATGATGAATACTGTAGTATTTTTTGGGAATTTGGGTTGTAACTAAACACGCGCTCAGCTCATGCTCGGTGCCTGCCCGCCGGAAGCCCGGAGCTGGCGCGCAGGAGGAAGAGCCCGTCAGGCGGGCGCGGGCGGGGCGGACCCCGCGCCCATGCGACGCGTTGAAGGAAGCCGTCGGCCGAGGTGGCGCAGCGCACGCGGCATGCAGGCGGCAGGTCCGCAGGGGTCTCCTCGTTCTGTGTCGTGTCAGTGTGTCACCGTGTGGCACTGGCATCTCGGTCTCAGGCCTCGTTTAGACTGTAAGTTTTTTCACTCTCTTTAACACATTAAATCTTTGGACATATGCATAGAGTATTAAATGTAGATAAAAAAATAATTAATTATACAGTTTAATTGTAAATTACGAGACGAATCTTTTAAACTTAGTTAGGCCATAATTAGACAATAATTATTAAATATAAACGAAAGTACTGCGATATCAATTACTGATTCCTAGCGCTCATGTAAACAAGGCCTCGGCTAGTGGGGTGGGGACGGACGTGCATGTGCACGGTGATCGAGCCGCCTGCCGCGTGCGTGCGTCAGTGTGCCGCGCCGGCGACCCTGCCGTAGCCGTCTGAGGACTGCGGACTGCGTGATCCTGTGACGCGCCGCGCGGAGCGTGCTGCGCTCGTTCCTGCCGTCCGCGGCGCGCTCGGCGACGCGCGGAAGCGACAAGGGCGGCCTGGGCTGGCTGCTGCGGAACGGGGTGGCAGGGGGAAGCCTGCTCCGCCATCGGCAGACCGCAGACACGGAAGCGCCAGCGCGTGCTGTGTCGTCACGCGCCTTCCGGCTGCGTTTCCGCCGGCCACGTCCGAGCCGAGCTGCGCACCTGCCTGCGTCTGCGTGAGCTAGCGTATCTTGTTTTCTTCTGTAGAAGAGGAAGAAAAACCGTTAGCAAATTTGTTCTATGACATTCAAACTTATGTGTTATGTGCCATTGAAAAATATGAGTTTGCTTTTATGCCATTGAGCCCTTGTTTAGTTCCAGGAATTTGGAATTTGGAGTTACTGTAGCATCTTCGTTTTTATTTTGTAATTAGTGTCTAAACATAGACTAATTAGGCTCAAAACGTTCGTCTCGTAATTTCCCACCAAACTGTGCAATTAGTTTTTTTTTTCATCTATATTTAATGCTCCATACATAGGCCGCAAACATTCGATGTGACAGATACTGTAGCACTTTTTTGGATTTTGGACTTCAACTAAACACGCGCTGACTTCAATTTTTCTCTGCCATTGCCGTTAAATCCCGTACAAAATCTCTGGGCGCCTGTTCGTTTCCTCCGTGTACAACTTTGGGCACACACAGCCTACCTACTTTATACTCACATCAGACGCGTGCGCGTCCGTACATACGCAAAAAAGAGATTGGGAGGTTCTGCAGCCTCCAGTGCGTGGAAAACGCGCAGTATCACCGAACGCACACGCATACGTGTACCCTAAATTTTGTGGAAATATTAACACAGGCCGGTGTGAGCGTGCTCCGTGCATCCAGATAAATACTATGGCCCCGTTCGCTGGTCTGAAACTTGACTGAAACTGACTTAAAACACTGTTCTGGCTGAAATGTTGTGAGAGAAAAACACTGTTCCAGCTGAAAAAAGAAGCCGAACAAACCAAACCTCATACCAGCCGGACGAGGCCATTAATGCCGGCAGTACGTAGAGCCTTTTACCTGTGTGCCATTATAAAAGATAGTCCTGACCTACGGACCACTAAAAAGTTTGAAAGTACCATGATGCCATGATGCTAAATTTTCTTGTCTTTCACACAATTCCGTCCATTTTTGCATCTTACGGTGTCAAAGTGCTACATGAAAAGTCCAAACTGCCCCTAGGTCTAAACACTACCAAAAAAAAACAAAACAAAAAAACAAACATACGCACGAACACGTTAGTGGCCAGGCACGCTTGCGAGGTGGGGCCTCTGGTGCCGGCCCGCATCGAGCGTCCCCAGCACGGTGGTGGGCTGGGAGGGGGCGCGGATGCAGCCACACCCGCCCGAGGAGGTCGCCAGCGCTGGTGCCGG